AGTTAAAAAAAAAAACAAAACAAGGGCACTAAGTCTTGAACAAGTATTTCTTCTTTGCCTCATGAGACTGAGACAGGGGTTTCTTGTGGAGGACCTTGCATTTCATTTCAAAGTTTGCTATGGGACAGTGAGCAACTCATTCACAGGTGTCAGGCAGGTGACCGTTCTTTAGATCATCTGGAATGTGCTTCAGGTCTTACGATGCTATTTGCTCTTTTTAAAAATAGACAAACCGCTTTGTTATGTTAGTCTGGTTTTGAGGTAGCCATGAGACACAAATGTGTTTGTTTAAAATTGACTGAGGAACTTGTGTTTTCTCTTTAAAAACTGAACTGTGCTTCCTTGCCAAACATGCTTGCCTGAGATTTGCACGTCATTTAAACTACAAGCATATTAAATTATATTTCTCAAAGATACAACGGGAAAATAATTATTCAATGTTGTACATAAATGATGTTACTTGACCAAGGCATGTTTATTTATGTTTTTTTTTTCGGTTTTTGTGTCCAGCGCTGAAAACTGAAAAGCTGCAAAGCTAAAATGTAATAGAAAAATGACTCAAGTCAAACCAAGTTTACTGTGGCACTTGTAAGGCCTAAAGGTATTCACCAGGGTGGATCTGGTTTGCCTTATTTTTTGGTCAAGACAAATGCTTCGTTTTCCTCATAGACCCAAGGATCTTACGAGCCAGCAACCACCTGTGTAATTAAGTACATATTGCCAGCAGTAAAATGAGACCGGAAAGATGACCAAATCCAAAGAGTACCACAATATCGTACTTTGGTTTTCCCTGACACATGCAAAACTTGATTATAAATGTTTCCATGAATGATATACTATATCCTATACCAGCTTAGCACTTGAATTTACACTGCAATGAAATATAGATTATTGCAGGTTAAAAGTGCCGTGGATGTCGTGCTAGAACCCTAATGAAATGTGCTGTTTGGGTATTCAACATGTAATACAAGCACAATGATGGTATCATGAAGAAAAAAAAGAATGATGTTCATATCTTACATCAGTAAGTTAAACGGGCTTACATGGTAACCACGCTTTGCGATCATGCTTGCCTCTAGATAACATTCTACCAGAAAGAACTGAATGACTTTGTAACAGCTTCTAGTGCAACAAGCTTAAGCTACTTATACTGAGCGATAAAATAGGCAAAAATGTAAATATATTGTCTAAAGTTGTCAAGCATGTAAGTTCTCGACCAACCTAAGATAATCGTACTACAGTTACAATAAATACTTTCTTATAACTAAGCAATTTTACTTTCCCTATATGCAAATCTTTCCCAGGAAGTAATACTGAATTATTAAAAATCCTAGCGGGAAGAGCACAAGAGTAGTAACATTTGCCTCACCCGTCTTTTGAACTAAACTGCGTTTCCTCGCAAACACAATTGTTTGGAAGTTCTTTGTCATTTAAAACTTCCACAATCATAAACTTAACTACAGCACTCAAGGCTACAATCGTACAATAGGTGTTTATGATTAGTATGTATAAACAATTGATAGTATCTGATCACAAATACGCCTTTTGACCTTTTTCAGTTTTTCCTTTCTTCTCTACCGAGTGTGCTTTCTTTTCTGTTTTTCGTTTTGACTGAAATGGTCCTGGGGCTATTTGTTCCATTTAAATGCCTTAAATCGAAAACAGTACATTTCTGGATTCAAAGTCGAATTTCCAATGGAAAATGTCATGAAAATCTTTCTTGTTTCCTCCTGAGAGCAGGACCATCTTCAGTTAAAATATCCACACGGTTTATAAATAAGTGATTTCACTATTAGCAAAGGAAAGTGGAAAATAGACGGAATTCACCTAGGGTTTATAAACGTTGAACACCATATAATGTGGTTTAAGAAGTCCTAAATGTAAGGTTCCGCAAATTATTCTTATGCAAAGGTATTATTGAATCAACGTATGCATTTGACAACTTTAACTCTGCTGTAAAAGGGCAATGTCACTGGTAGACTCGCATATCGTAGTATTTAGTTGTGATGCGCGTACTTCTTTAGCTATTAAGGTAGTATAAATAATCTACCAAAACTAACTTAAAATAACCAGAATAGTGCCTCAAACCTTAAGTTGTGGTTTTGTCTGTTCGCTGTTAACCTTCCGACTTTTTAAAGGATCTCATTAAAAGAAAACTCGATTGGCAGATTGTCTTTTGCAACAAAACTTTGTTCGAACGCAAAACCTTTTTATCACAAGAAGAATCATGATTTTGAGAAAAAAAAGGGTTACATTAACTATTTTTATTTATAGTTCCCACTTAATGGCAAAATGGCCAATGCTTATCTCGTTGTTTTCCTCTTCTTCTTGTTAGCTTTCTGAATCCTGACCTTCAAGGAGGGAAATGTCAACTGCTCCGCTCTCCTTTAAAGTATCACCAATCGATGGCATCTCGATTCCACCAGTTTGCAGTTGCTGATTCAGTATGTTCTTGCCAGTTAATCCTCGTATTTTGCGATTCATTTAGTGGCAATAGCAAGGCCAGGCAGCAGGTAAATGACCACTTTGGATTCTTGCGCCATTCTTTTACATAGTGGTAGATGTAAACCAGATATTGCACTGAAAAAAGACAAACTCATTCAAATGAAAGCTTGAACGTTATAGATTCAATTCATGTTGAAAAAAAAAATTTGAGCACAGATGAAAGACCTTAAAGGTGGCAACTTCTCTACTCAGTAAAAGACAGGCCAGACACGCGTGAACTGTGGATGGCAGTATTGTGATCGACCTTGCCGATTTCACAGATTTGTCTCCAAAAAGTCATGGCAATAAATAGAGTGCATTAAGTAACCTATAGCTGAAAGTGATGCTCGAAAAAAAATATAAAACATACCCTGTTAGTGAAATCTCTAGACATTGGTTGTTTATAATCCAAATGACAAGATCAGCTGAAATATTCTCCTTTTTTCAAATTCATTTTACTCAGCATACACATCACCAAGTACATTTAACATTTGTATTTCAATTTTTTTGTCAGAAATATTTTTAAAATTGTAATAATTATGATGTTATATGACATAGTGGCCAGCTCAGCTTACAGTGTCTGCTCAAATAAACAAACCTCCAGGCTGTATGTTGATTTTATATGTAAGTTCAACGTTCAAGTCATTATAAGTGGAAACTATGCTTCTAACCTTTAGCAGACATTGCATGCATGCATATCGGAAACTAATGCTATTTCTTCTCCTGTTTTATTTAACCTTGGTCTTGACAAGTCTGCCATAATCTGTAGCGCCAGAACATACAATTTTCAGAGTATTCCATTAACGATTTGCAATTATTTTGCAATTAACAAAGAGTACAGTTATTTCTGCAGTAAAAATTAAGGAATCAATCAATGGCATACCCGTCAGTGATCTGTGCATCTGTGAAGTGTAAGCTTAATTACGCAAAGTTATCAGAAAACATCCCTTTTGCAATAATCCAGCTGAGTTAACTGACTTGGAAACATGCTTTGTGTGAATACAAACTTCGCAATTGATCACTTTGTCTTGAAAATAACATGGATAACAGAAAGGCAGTCTTACGAAAATACTCTGTCGCTTGTGAAATCCGCGTGAATTTGAACTATTCAACGGAAGTTCATTTCACACTTTTCTATTGGTTCAAAAGCCGCACGTGACAAAGTAAATCAAATCGCGCATGTGCAAAAGTCACCTGGAAGCCTGGGAACGACAAACATGGCGGCTAATCGAGAATGCGCTTCGGCGTTTGGGTCGAAAGCTTTCAAAGCTTTTTTTATCAACATAAAGACTCTGTTCATCTAACAACAATCATGCAAAGGTTTAGTCTGGTGTCAAATTTAGGAACAATTATATTCATGTTCAAGTGTGATGTTATAATGTTGAAGTTGCTACATTGATGATTTGCTGTAGAACCATAATATCATTGTAATTTACTAGACATCATCAAGGCAATTTTTAAGATTGTAACAGTTTAATTGAGCTCAAAGAGTTTTGTTAATAAGGTGATCACTGGTCACTATTACAGACACTGGTTTTTACATGTACATAGTCATTGTAATCAAGAGGCTTCGATGGTCTGTAAAGCTCATATATGACTGCTTTTGTAGATTTCTTGTTAGTTGTATGTGGAAAGTGAGGATGCGTCATCCTTTGTGAAAAAATAGCAGTTGTAAAGCAAAGAGTGTCCTTCATCCTCATTTTGAAATGCCATGGGATCTTCAAATGCGTCTTCTTGGACGGTGTCTTCTTTCGGCTGGACCGGCTGAATGAAACATCTATGGTTGACATGCTTAAATTCCCCACAGTTAGTGCAGGTTACATGGTAACACTTATGCGGTTTGGTGGGATCAAATCACAAATGCTTTTGTCGTCTTTCTTCTTTCCTTTCTTTTTGTGGGCTTCAAAACAATCTTGGCCATAAAATTTGCAGTTGCAGTTTGGACATTCAAGGGTTGGCTTGATCCACGCAGCATAATTTTGGCAGATCTTATTTGTTCGAAGACAGGCAGGACAGTTTTGTCCACAACAATTGTGGTGGGTGGCGCCCTCGAAATCATAACCCTTATTGTTCAGACAACAGTAATAGGAAGGATTGATAAGGGCAGGGATGCTGGTTAATCCATCGAAATGGTCTTGATGTTTCACCAATCATATAGCATGCGGTGTGTTATTGTATTTTGCCTCTTTGAACACAATTAAACATGTAGACGGTTCGACAACAATGAGTTGGTATCCCTGTGGTCCTAGAAAGTCTTTAAATTTTTCCATTTCTTCAAACCCAGAGGGGGCTTCAGGAACACCCGCTTCTCGATGCAACAATTTGGCCAATCGTTCTTGAATGGGTCCTTCCTTCCTTAGATTCTGATACTGGGAGCCATTTGTCCACCCTCGTCACAATGGCCCTGGATGGATGGATGGTCACAGCACACCTCTTTTTCTTGGCCAATTTCTCCCACTCATGGCAGCCAGGATTGGCTTTTTTGCCCCTGTTCTTTCCTCCTCGACCCAACCGTTTCACAAAGGTGAACCCTCGTTTTCCACCACCCTCTGCAACCCCTGAATTAGAGCTTCGGTGATGGCTTCCCCTAGTGGTTCATTTTGCGCATCTCGCAGTTGTTGTAAAGTAAGCCTATATTTCTTTTGGTCTACAATGCCACGAAACGATCTGTTTCTTCCCACTGGTGTAACTTTTGCCTGGGAAAGTGGATTCCCCCCAAGTTGCTCGAAGAGGCGGAAGGCAGACAACAGATTCTCATCATCTTCGTTCATTAAGGCTATATAAACATAAAAACAAAACGCCTGCATTAACGCTTGGTTGTTTTTGCTAATTAAGCCTACATTTTCTTTACGCTTCAAAATGCTCGAATTACTGTTATTTTTTGTGTTTTAATTGAAATCTACCTTTCCAGTTCACTCAGTTTGCGGTTATAATTTAAAAACCTAACATTCTTGACAGCTAAAAAACATTAACTAAAGGCTTTCTTTCTTTCCATTTACCCTTTATTTTCCACCTTTCACAAAAGCTAAGGCAAAGGTTTACAATATTTCGAGTTCATCTTCATCGTTGTCGCTGTCAGAAGTGATGTCAGCTCAGTTTTGTTCAGTTTTGATTTTTTTTTGCATGCAGTGTTGAAATAAATTTGTTCCAGTTGTCACCACCAACTGTCTTACTGCGCATTAATTTCCTTTATTGTGAAATTCTACGTCCTCTTTCGTGTTAATTTTCTTTATTCGAAAGTCGTTTTCAATTAAATTCGTGTCAATTTAAGTCGCATTAATTTCCAATACCTTAATTTCATGGAGTGTTAATTTCCTATAATAAGGTATGCTTTGCTCCGTAAAAATAAGTTTCTGCATTCACTTTGTTTACGCACCGTTAACACCGTTCGCAGTTATAATTCTGTCTTTTACTTACACTTTCGCCTACAATACTTTTTGTTGACGCTCGGTTAATAATACACCAAACATTAACACAATTTACCTTCAATGTCGCTATCCATTGCTTCTATTGAGGCTGGCTCTTGAACGCCATCCCCGTTGTAGCTGATGAGCTGTATATACGACAGCATTTAGGCACTCTGCTTTCTGCTTCGTTTTAAACACTTTGTTTTACGCAACGGGTAATTAAACAATCTTACCTTCATTTGATAAATCTTGGTTCATTTTCAAGCAATAACTTAGCTGAATTAGAACTTACACTTTGACAATGTTGACTCATTGTGATGGCTAATTGCTCAAGACTCTAAGACACTTGGCACTGAATGAACGATTGTGGGCAAATTGTCGTTCCTTTATAATCGCTGAAACAAAAGGCAATATTGGCCTTTGATGTGTTCAGGCTTCATTTGCATACAAACTCGCTGAAGCGTATTGTACACGTGGGAAATAATTTTGTTGCTGAGGTGGGCTCTTTCCATTGACGTAAGTACTCATTGTTGCCAAGATTGCTGACGCAATTACTATTTCACCTTCGTTCTGCCGGTAAGCAAATTGCTTATTTCTAAAAACGCGGGACATTACTTTTGCTGAGCTAGCAAAATGAACCCAATGTTCACCCTTTGTTTTCGGGGATTAGGCGGCAATCTTGTTTGACGTCAGTGACTAATACTCGCTCTTTTTGCTTGCACGCAATGACCTTTCGCTTTTTTCTTTCAACCTTTTTTTTACTTTTTCTTTCATGTTCTTTTCCTCATACGTGATGTTACCGTAAAAACTTGTGTATAAGCCGCACTCGTGTATAAGCCGCACCCCCAACTTTCAAGCATGATTTTGAAAAAAAAAAAACCAAAAATACGCTTTTGTAAAAAAGGTGATCGTTTGTTTGCGCATCAAAATGTTCACAAATAAACTTGAGGAAATTTAATGTTGTGTATTTGCAGTGACATTTTAAATAAGTTAATCAACTCTGAAAATACCTTTTAAAAGGTTCTCTTTAATCAATTTCCCCATTTCCTGCGAAAGACAACAGTTCTCTTCATTGCTAAAGCCCACAGTTGAAATGAAAATGGAACGATGTAACGAAAATGAAGCGCTGGAGAATGCTACAAAACGATTGCTTAGTAACCACGCGTTTATTTGACGAGGGAAGTCTGGACACCAGAGAAACGAGAGTTGCTAAACGAGAGTTTAACAACCCAATGGACAAACACGCCGTGAAAGTAGTGAAGGACGACGAAACGGTCGGCCATTTGCCTCGCGAATTCTCTCGAATAGCGTGGTATTTTCTTGCACGTAGTGGGGAAATCAGCGTTGAAGTGATCGGTCGCAGACGACACTGTAAGCAGCTGTGCGGAGGAATGGAGATTCCGTGCCAGTTAGAGTTTAACTGCTCAAACAAAGCGCAGATGAAACGCTTAAAAGAACTACTGGCGAGCAAGATTCAGGTATAGAACCTGAAGATGCAAACAAACGGCTCCTTTAGGAGCCACCACTTCTACTGAAAGCAATGATCAACGACAGGTTTCAATATGTTTAATCTTTATTTACTGAAGGTTTTCAGTTCAATTTGTGACCCCTACAAGCCAGTTTACTCCCTTTGAGAGCAATGGTCTCGTGTATAAGCCGCACCCGCGATTTTTGACTCAAAATTTCGGCAAAAAGGTGCGGCTTATACACGAGTTTTTACGGTAAGTCTTATTTTCTTTTTCCCTTTCTAATTTAATATCCATTACTCCGTCTTATTTCCCAGTTAATTATGGAGCCGATTACTTTTACACTCTTTCAACACTCTTTATTAAAATACCTATTACAAGCGGAACTTGTGGTGGAAGCTAAACTTCCCCGCCCATTTCAATCCATTCTTCAAATAAAGTTTCATACAATACAAAACAAGTTTCATGTGCTTTTCGTCTGTATTTGGCTGTTGCCCTTAAATATTTCCAGTAGTTCAAATCAATATGGTCATCTATAATTAATCTTGAAGTTAAAATCCTTAAACCTTGGGCACACAGTTCGTCAGTACTTGTATTGACCCATTGGGTGTGAAAACAAAAAGCTCTTTCTCCGATTTCCTCTATTGTTCTTCTGGAAGTACAAAGGGGTACCTTTCGATTAATGATGCATACACTCTACAAACTTTGACATAGGCTGCAAACAGGTCAAAGTCTTCTGACCGAGTCCTAAATAGAAGCCAGTCTTCAATACAGATTCCAAATAGTCCAATTCTTAGATCGCAACTACTGCATGTTTCCCCTGTATAGACCCACGATGTAACGGGGCAACCAGGTAACACTCTCAGTTTCACAAGTGTTGGTCTAGAAAATAAAAAATACACCATTCGTTTACCGTCCTAGTCTTTGAATAATCGATGCCCCTTTATATACCATTTCAAAAGGGTCTTGTGTTCCCAATTTGTGTCTACCTCTTCGTGTTTCCACCTCAAAATTAAACCATATAATGGTAGAACAAACTCAAACATTCTTTCACAATGACTACATATATTTTGTAAAAATTCAACCATTTCGTAAATGGACAATACGTCATCTTTTTCCACCTTCTTATGTTTTGCACAACACTTCTACAATAAACAACAAAAACACACGTTTTCACAATGGCAGAAAAAGAATTTTCATGCGCGGTGTCCACTCTAAGTCTCTGATAAAAGGTAGCCGTTCCAGGGTTTCTCTAAATAAAATTCAAAAACCAGACTGTAAATAAGGGCCTCCAATCGACATCTGGGACCAGTCGAATGAGGTCAAGTGACGATCTACATACAAATACATAATTAGTTTTTACCATTGAACTAAATGAAAGCTACTAATTACTGAAACACTTTACTGACTTAACTATCTGCCATTGCATGGATATTAAATGCGATAAACGCATACGCGGGTCAATGTCTGTATAAATTTCCATCGCTGTATGCTCGGTTAATAAAACGTACAAACAGTGCTACGGGCCACATTCCGTTTTGGTTTCCACCTCGGTATGCTTCTACGATTTGTAACATTGGTCTAAATGAATGGAGAAAGTTGGCAAAATAAATTTTCATGGATAACGGCCAGTTAAGATCTCTTAATGTCCTTATGTCCATAAGCGTCTCTCTAAACAGAACAATCCACGCCTCTAGCTAACTTCGCTGTAGCCACCACACGTGGCTGGGAAACAAGGGCAGGGTCCAGTTTAAGTCTTCTAACACACGCAATTCAATAAGTACGTACCGAAAACGAAGTTTGTGTTCCTCTCTGAACCTGTCTCTCATCTCATTGCAGTCCCGTTCTTCAACGGCAATGCGTACCATATGCCATGGCGGCAAAACCTTTCTGGCTTGCTCCCCTGGGTTTGGCAAAGCTTTCAGACTTGATTCTTGAAGGGACATCATTTTCGATTAAGAAACAAGGTACAACGGTAAAGCAAAATGAGGCTTACGTCATGCTTCTTTTTTTTTCTAACTGTTGGCTTTTCTTTCATTGGTGCGTTTTGGATTCCCCTGCGACTTTTCCAACTTTATTGGTTTATCCTATTCCCTTTTGTTTTTCACACACCTAGCATTTGCATAGAGCAAATGGCAAGACACGCTCTGTTGTGCTGTTCTTGCTAACGAAGCAATGAAATACAGTGGAAGCCTAATATAACGATATGCCAAGGGATCAGTGGAATTAGATTGTTATAGCGAGACTCCCGATATAACGATATTGCCGTAAAATAACTGAAAATATCGTTCTATCGGGGTAAAATTAACATGTACTTTTTTTACTACATATTGTTTAATTAAACTTGTAATGGGTATCAAATGACTAACAAATGTAGCGTTTCAAGCACGCAGCAATGTCCTTAAACAATTTGCAAAGCATTAGACGTTGTCAAGGTTACACAACAAAGTCTGTGGTATGAATCGTAAAAGGGAAACAAAACAAAACTTAAACATTTGAAGTTGCGACTGTTATCATCTTTACTTTTTGCTGTTTGCATGTTCATTGTTTTTCTTTTTCAACAGACACTTGTTCATTAATTAAAGTACTCTTCAAGTTTGGTTTGCCTCATTTGTTTTATTTGCAATCTTGAAAACGCATCTTTCATCGCTGAAAGAGAGGAAAGGAATTCTCTCTCTCGTTTGCCCGAATCATCCAACTTAATAATACAATTTTTAATTGCTTTGACAGCTTCAGTAGCTTGCACAGGAGTCAGGCCTAGGGGCGTAGGTTCAATCACTGATATATCATCATCAGAGTCTGACTCGTCCCCTTGAGAGCTAGCATGCACGACTGGTTGGACTGCCTCCAAAGCTTCCCTTTCCGCGTCATTTTCCGTCATCTGATTCTCTGTGGTAACATCTTTGTCTAGAGATACAAACTGGCTAAATGACACATCTGCTAGCAAGGGATACTCCTGGAC